CCAAAGCCTGACGCGGGGCTCGAACTCACGGACCGCGAGATCGTGACCTGGCTGAAGTCGGACGCTTAACCGACTGCGCCACCCAGGCGCCCCTATTTCAGCCCATGGTATTTAAAAGGTGAGACTGGATCTAAAATATCATTAGATTGTATCCAGTTTTTCACTACTACATATAAGCAATATAGCAATGAACATATTTGTGTTTATTTGCAATTATCTATATTATACATCATGGAATTTGGGGATCATAGGGTATGTACATTTGAACTTTTCATATATGTTACCACTTTGCCCCTGAAAAAAGTTGTAACAAATGGCATTTCCACATATACTGCGTATTCTCATTCTTTTTAGACTTTGCCAACACATTACATGAAAAAAGAAAAAAAAACAACAACCAACATATCTATTCATCTATTCAACAACATTAACTGATCATTTATTCTGTCCCAGGCCTTGTCCCATGGCCTGGGCATTACGGCAAAAAACAAAACGGAGCCCCTGACCTCATGGAGCAGTATCAATGAGCAGTTAATTGACATCAATGACCACTATGTAGAAAATGAAAGAAGAATAAAGTGGTTCTGCAGGGCTGGGGTAGAGCTTGCTATCTTAATCGGGGTGGTCAAAGAAGGACTCTCTAGAAGGGTGACATTCAGGCGGAGAACTGACGAAGTATCGGTAAAAACTAGGCAGATATCTGGGGAGAGGCCCAGGAGAAGTAGCAGACCTGACAAATTCAAGGAAGAGCGAGAAGGGCAGGCAGGCTGGAGCATAGGGATAAAGAGGGAGTGTAAGGGCAGAATCTAGGAAATATCTTTACCACTACGGTCAGCAGCCTGCGTTGTCGGTAAAAATATTAACAAAGTAAAAGGCATTTTGCAATTCTAACCTCCTATTTCCACACTTTGCAAGAAGAGAACGCCTGTTCTCAGCTCAACTGGTGGTAAACAGTTGGTGGAGATCGTTGCAGTACAAGAATGAAAAGAAGGTAATCATTCATAACTCCGACATCTGCGTATCTAAGTAAAAACCCGATCCATACTGGTGTCACTTGTCACGAACCGTACCTGACCTCATCTTCCCAGCCACCCCAATTGCGCTTAACCTGGTAGGTTTGAACGGAGAAGAGCTGCGCCTGCGCAGTAGCGCTGCACCGCCCGCTCCCCCGCGGGCCCCGCCCAGCCCGCAGTGGGCGGGGATAAGTCGGCCCAGCTCCGGAAGCTGCTGCTGCCCACCCCACTGACGTGTCGGGGCAGCGAGACGTGTCGCGAAGAGTCGCGGTGGAACTTACCTACGGTGTACAGATCTGGCGCTTTACGCTGCTAGGCACTGCTGAGCTGGGAGATGTCGGCTGCGGGCAGGGCGGAGCCCTTGGGTCCTCCCGGCAGCTTTGCGAAGCGGCTCCTGGTGACCGGGGGTGCTGGTTTCATGTAGGTAACGGCGTCGCTGGCCGAGTAGTGGCTCCCCAGAAACCCCAACCTTTTCCTGCACCTCTACTTGCTCTTGGCAACTTGGGACCAGCTTAGGGGGTCTGAAATGGGAAGGGTCTTAACGCATGACTAGGATCAGCCTACCTTCTGCCATCACCCCCCTCCCCGCCCCCCGTCCCCGCCTCCGCCTCCGCCTGAAAAGTCTTGGTTCCTTTGAAACTCCGACTTCTTTAAGATGCTTCCCAACCAAAACCAAAGTGCTGTGGTACCGTCTGTCCTCTTACCTGGCCTGGGATGCACC